GTATCAGACCAAAGTTGAAGTTATTTATTTAAAGCAGAGAGAGGGAGGAAGGTGTAAGGCCTTGTGTGAAATGCGTGTCTCCTTCTCTTCTTGTTTTAAAGTGCAAGAGTTCTTTCTGATGTTTGGGGCAAAATTAACAGGCACAAATCTCACTGTGGACATTGTTTTTATGTCTCTTCATTGAAGCTTTATCCTGAGCCTGCGTTGTTGGTGTGAAAACTACTGTATCTCTAAAATCTGGCTTTAAATTAATAAAACCTTTTGCTTCAACAGAGGACTAGGGAGTCTTTCTGAGGGCCACAAGACTGGGATGGTACTTCGAGTCCACTCACATCATACAAAGTGACTGAAAATATGTTCAAAATCAGGCCCCAAGGGGATCCACTACTTTCCACTTTTAACACTAGACCATCTGCCTGACCATCTATAATTTCACTATATACAGTTTTGTTTCAAAGTTTACATGCCGAGGAAGTAATTTGGGGAGGAAATGGCTATATTTTTGGGACATTAAGCAGAGAAATTATGCATTAACACTGTAACACTGAACTGTACAGAAGAAACTCAATAGCGTATGTTTACACTTTAACATCTATGACAGCTTGGATTGTTTTGTGGTAGTTGTGGATGAGGTTCTCCGTCCTTCCTGTTAGTAAATATGACCACACTTCTGGCAAAAAAACCTCCCGTTCCTACCAGGGCTGCGCATCAACTGCACGTTTGGGATCTCCTCAGAGTGGCTCATAGACGTTATCATTTGAAAATAGAAAATACATTAAATTGACAATATACGGCTTCACACAACCCCTGAAGATGAGTGACCACAGGGTTTTTGTGTTATCATTCATACTCTCCAAATATGACCCAAAACAATGTAAACTATGGGCTTATGTATTTTTGATACAAACTAATCACAGTACATCAACAAGGAGTTTGGGGACCGTCCTTCAGTTTTTACCAGTGGGGGCGGGTCCCGGCTCAAAAGTGGCCAAAATGACATGCTGCAATACCACCCCGGGCCTGTGGGGGTGGACCTGGAATAAGAATTAGCCAATGCTAACATATAATGTCTTTACAGGATGGTCCAAAAGTTGGCTCTTGGCCCAAAGCTCCGTTCCACATGTGTGTCAATGCTGAGTGTTCTGGACCAGTCTAGTTTAGTCGCTGTGAATTTTTGAAGTCTCTCGTTTAAATGAATGGAACTCATGCAGCTGACGCATGCACAGATGCGTTTTTTCACATTTTTCAGCCCCAGCGGCCATTTTGAATCACTCCATGAGAGCCCAATTTTTGGCCCATTACTTAGAAGGGCGGAGATAGGCGTGCGTTAATATAAAAAGTATTTGCCCCCCTTGAACCTTTCAACATTTCGCCACATTTCAGGCTTCAAACATAAAAATATAAAAATGTTATTTTTTGTCATGAATCAACAACAAGTGGGACACAATCGTGAAGTGGAACAAAATTTATTGGATAATTTAAACTTTTTTATCAAATAAAAAACTGAAAAGACGGACGTGCAATATTATTTGGCCCCTTTACTTTCAGTGCAGCAAACTCAGTCCAGAAGTTCAGTGAGGATCTTTGAATGATCCAATGTTGTCCTAAATGACTGATGATGATAAATAGAATGCACCTGTGTGTAATCAAGTCTCCGTATAAATGGACCTGCTCTTTGATAGTCTCAGGGTTCTGTTTAAAGCGCAGAGAGAACCATGAAGACAAAGGAACACACCAGGCAGGTCCGAGATACTGTTGTGGAGAAGTTTAAAGCCGGATTTGGATACAAAAAGATTTCCCAAGCTAAGAAGGAGTATCAGACCACTGCAAATCTACCAAGACCCGGCCGTCCCTCCAAACTTTCAACTCAAACAAGGAGAAGACTGATCAGAGATGCAGCCAAGAGGCCCATGATCACTCTGGATGAACTGCAGATAACTACAGCTGAGGTGGGAGAGTCTGTCCATAGGACAACAATCAGTCGTGCACTGCACAAATCCGGCCTTTATGGAAGAGTGGCAAGAAGAAAGCCATTTCTCAAAGATATCCATAAAAAGTCTCGTTTAAAGTTTGCCACAAGCCACCTGGGAGACACACCAAACATGTGGAAGAAGGTGCTCTGGTCAGATGAAACCAAAATCAAACTTTTTGGCCACAATGCAAAACAATATGTTTGGCGTAAAAGCAACACAGCTCATCACCCTGAACACACCATCCCCACTGTCAAACATGGTGGTGGCAGCATCATGCTTTGGGCCTGCTTTTCTTCAGCAGGGACAGGGAAGATGGCTAAAATTGATGGGAAGATGGATGGAGCCAAATACAGGACCATTCTGGAAGAAAACCTGTTGGAGTCTGCAAAAGACCTGAGACTGGGAGGAAGATTTATCTTCCAACAGGACAATGATCCAAAACATAAAGCCAAATCTACAATGGAATGGTTCACAAATAGACGTATCCAGGTGTTAGAATGGCCAAGTCAAAGTCCAGACCTGAATCCATTCGAGAATCTGTGGAAAGAGCTGAAGACTGCTGTTCACAAACGCTCTCCATCCAACCTCACTGAGCTCGAGCTGTTTTGCAAGGAAGAATGGACAAGAATTCCAGTCTCTCGATGTGCAAAACTGATAGAGACATACCCCAAGCGACTTGCAGCTGTAATTGCAGCAAAAGGTGGCGCTACAAAGTATTAGCGCAAGGGGCCGAATAATATTGCACACTCCACTTTTCAGTTTTTTATTTGTTAAAAAAGTTTAAATTATCCAATACATTTTGTTCCACTTCACGATTGTGTCCCACTTGTTGTTGATTCTTGACAAAAAATTAAAATTTTATATCTTTATGTTTGAAGCCTGAAATGTAGCGAAATGTTGAAAGAATACTTTCGCAAGGCACTGTACCGTCTATGGGAGGCACCCAGATTTCAACATTGTCAGAAAGAAGCCTGTCACATTTTCAGGAAGACTGTTTCAGATCGTAGCTGCATGAATATGTAATGATAGAAAATAACCTTTTGATGTAGTGTATGTACAATTTCATCATTTTCAAGCCCTTTATTGTCCATTTCTGGGTCAGGGGGGGGGGCAATGAGAGCTGCACCCAACGCTCATAGCAGCAGTCCCTCTGATCCTCTGCAGGGGGTGAGTCCACTCACCCCCTGCCATGACAGAGGGGGTGCTCTGTCATGGCTGTATGTACAATTTATATCTTCAAATATCTCATCGATGATCAGTGGTTTGGGCTTAAGACTGTTAAGATTCAATCCCTCAAATTAAAATCAAATATCACTTTCACATTCTCCAAAATGATACATCTGGAACAATTTCACCTGAAAACACTCACGTCTTTTACACCTCCCTTTCAGTTAAACCAGTTCTTCACAAAGAGGACATCACTCTCACGCTGCTCTCGGGGAGAAAGACTTTGGGTGGAGCTCGTCTTTCCATGACTTTAAAGGAAATGCATCGATTCGCTGACATTCACTGACCGTCACGCACCCCGCCGACTCTCCATTATCGCTACTTTGTGATGCCATAAGTCTCCACGGAAACATCTACCATCTATCATAACCAAACCAAGCAGCTGCAAAAATATCCATACCAGATGTGAAAGCCTGCCATTTGTCATCAGCCCACGAAATAAGCTTATCAAAAACAGTATTAGGAATTGGCCATACATCCTCAGTAGCAATTTCTATGATGTGTTTTTTAACGTCTTCTGTTGATTTTAATATTTGGGCTAAGGTTGGAAGCATGGAATGAGTTGTGGGGATTGATTGAAGCCAGGCTGTGTAGCAGACAGCAGAGGAGAGGCGAGGGGAGGGGAGGAGAGGGGACCGGGTCAAGGTGAAACCGCACTTTTTATATGGAGTCTGTTTTGGATTTGGTAAGAAGCATCTCTCAGCGGTTCACTGAGGAGGTTCGAGGCCAGATGCTGCGTAAGACCTGCAGAGAAGGAGGGATGTAGCGGCCAAGCGGTCTGAGCCGAGGAACATGAAAAACGCTGTCACAAGTGATACAAGACTAGATTTATTCTTTGTAAAGAAGACGTTGTGTGTCTTTGAGGGTTAGTCGTTGAGATCACACATGGAACTCATTATTGTTGTTTTGTTATTGCGGGGCTGTAACAAGTTCATTGATTATTGAAATATTTGTCAACTCATGTAGTAATCTTTTAATAATTTTTTGAACCCTGCATTGACTTAAACATACTGAGGAGAGGTTTTAGGCTTGGGAATCTTTCAGAGCCTGACAATGTGTTTTATTAGAAGAGCGCTTGAGTCTTATCGAGCTGATCTTTTCTTCATGGAATGATCTTTCTCATCTCTCTTATTGCCTCCCCTTATGGTCGTAAACTTCATCCACAACCCCAAAGCATACTGGGATACTGAATTTAAATTTGACACAATTGACATGTTTCCAAACTGTCTAACGCTCCATTACTTTGTCTCCCCCCGAAACAACACTTTTGGTTTGAATGCTTAAAAGAAGAAAATTGCGCTATGTGTTTATATATATTTGTGTTCATATGTTTATGTAACTGTTATACCTGAACACACGACACACTATGCACAACCAGCTAAGTCCTCAAGAACCAATTTGTATCTGTCTAGCCCCCTGCCCTTCCGTGTCGCTGCTCCGTATGTGTGTTATGTAAAAGCTTTGTTTGTATATGTTTGTTTGTTGTCCTTGTTGAATGTTGATGTGTCTGTCTATTTTGCCTATAATAAAGATAAAAAAAGGACAAAATTGCCACTGTATATCGACAGAAGCGTGCGTTTAGTTCATTCTTAGGATAATCAGCAGCATCGGCCCATTTCATTTCAAAGCAACTGAAATGTTAACAATGTTCCACTGCTAGCATTTCAAAACATACACAGGGCTGATTATTAATATTCAAAATATATAGAACCATCAATGTGCATTTTTATTTGTTCCTCTGGGGGAAGTAAAAATACAACTGTTTAATATTGACTTAAACATACATTGTTTTGTGTGCAGTGTCTGACGCCTTGCAAAGAGCTTTGGGAAACCAGGAAAGTGCTGTCTCAAAAGTCCTGTGAGGTGAGTGACATTTCAAATGGTTGCATTGTTTGTTGTATCTGGGCGGCACGGTGGCTGAGTGGATAGCACTCTCGCCTCTCAGCAAGAAGGTCCTGGGTTCGAATCCCGGTCGGACCAGGGCCTTTCTGAGTGGAGTTTGCATGTTCTCCCCGTGTCTGCGTAGGTTTCCTCCGGGTACTCCGGTTTCCCCTACCACTAAAAATATGTCCAATAGGTCTGGCATGCGCCTCCTGTACTGGCGACCCCGCTCCCATCTCTGTGTGGAGAGACAAATGCCCAAAAAAATGAAAAAATAACACTTGTAAACCGCTTTGAGACTCAGATCTGCAGTGAAAAGGCGGTATATAAATACTTACTTACTATCTGTTGGACTGTTGTGCTGTTAAAAGACCTTTACTTTACTGACATACTTGTCACGAAAATGAGGAAGACTCAAAACGCAGGAATGCCAAAATAAAGCTTTTAATAAAACAAAGTCCAAGGCAAAGAACAACTCCAAAAATCCAAAGTGACCAGGACAAAACTAGACAAGACAATGCAGCAGCAACAAGGGGAGAGAAGCACAGGTACATACAGACGCAGACACAGGTGAAACACATCAGGCACAGGTACATACAGACACAGACACAGGTGAAACACATCAGGCACAGGTACATACAGACACAGACACAGGTGAAACACATCAGGCACAGGTACATACAGACACAGACACAGGTGAAACACATCAGGCACAGGTACATACAGACACAGACACAGGTGAAACACATCAGGCACAGGTACATACAGACACAGACACAGGTGAAACACATCAGGCACAGGTACATACAGACACAGACACAGGTGAAACACATCAGGCACAGGTACATACAGACACAGACACAGGTGAGACACATCAGGCACAGGTACATACAGACACAGACACAGGTGAAACACATCAGGCACAGGTACATACAGACACAGACACAGGTGAAACACATCAGGCACAGGTACATACAGACACAGACACAGGTGAAACACATCAGGCACAGGTACATACAGACACAGACACAGGTGAGACACATCAGGCACAGGTACATACAGACACAGACACAGGTGAAACACATCAGGGCGGGGCAGACAATCAAGACAGGGGAACAGGACATGAAGTAAAACTGAAATGAAACCAGATAACTAATGTCAAAATAAAACCAAATACATAAATAAAAATCCACACCATGACAATACTGCTATAATAGAACTGCTTCTGTTATAGTGTTTCTGTGTATAGTTTAGCAGTTCAATATTTAGTCAAGATTGTTCCATATTCAAAGCTGAGGTATCTAACTTAATAATACCTCAAACAAACATGACGACTCTGTGAATGAGACTGTGGTGTCTGTGACTGCTGGGATTAAAGAAATGATCCACGGTGCACTGAAAGTAACCATTATTTAATACATTGAATAAATAATGTATTATTAACAGCTCCTTCATGAATATGCAGTCCCATCTAAATAGACAAATACATACAAATACAAATACAACTTCAAAAAACAGAGTTACAGCTGAGGCCAAAGTAACAAATGTGATTACTTATTACTGACCAAAATAATGTTGTTACTAACATTTCAAATTACACCAATACTGTTTACAGCTGTGTGCCTTCAAGTCGTGAGGTTTAATCTCAATCTGGTGCAGTGTACTTTCCCATGTCTACTTCAAGATTAGCCTGGTCGTACCACACCACAGTACAAATTACATACAAATTACATTTTGTACTAAGGCCGTTAACAGGTGGGAGGGGTTAACTCCTTTTGCAGACTGAAACCATTGGATCTGAGTTTGTAGTGCGCCCGAGTCTGTTGTTAGCATTTAGCATTTAGCCTAGCTTTAGCCATCTCCTTTGCCGCTAACGGAGCCCGTGGGGAGTAGCGCCACAATCTTGACTAGCGATTACATTTGCTAAACATTCCTCTTGCTCCGGCTTCAGTTTCTTGATAGAACCAGACCGGATTACTTTACTATCGCATTTTTCGCCAAACTACAACCTTCCCGTTCGACGCAAACTCTTGACGTCACTCACATCTAACTACAACACCCGCCTCCCGCGCTCTCTGATTGGTCGGTCGAAATTAAACCGATTGTAATCTCTAACACAGGGACCAGACCCAGACGTTACATGCAGTGAAATGATGATAGAGCGGAGAGTACGGATGGATAAGACCAGGGTTCTTCAAGATGGAAGTTTTGCTCATTCTAGTCATCTCTCACTCCAGTTTCCATATTCATCCATCTTTTTTTCTAATTTATTTCTCGACATTTATAACTCAACAAAGTAAAGATCCCAACGCCAAAAATACCACACTTAAAGCAACGTATTTTGTCTTCAAGTCTTGCTGCTCTGGTGTTAGTGGGGTGCATACACAGGTGTTAGTGGGGTGCATACACAGGTGTTAGTGGGGTGCATACACAGGTGTTAGTGGGGTGCATACACTGGTGTTAGTGGGGTGCATACACAGGTGTTAGTGGGGTGCATACACAGGTGTTAGTGGGATGCATACACAGGTGTTAGAGTGGCGTTCTGTGGTTTGGGGAGCATACTGTACATTTTTCATCACAGTTGCTGAGTCATGCTGAAGTCTGAATGGGTGAATGCCCGAGTGCAAAACACTGCAATCCCAAACCATGCACAAGAAAATAAACAAGCTTTCACAGCAATTTACGCCTGTGTAACGTTTAGCAGTAGGAAATGTTTCATGAGTGTGGCTTTCACAGTTCTGCAGCAGCCGCAAACACATAAAAGTGAGCTTATTTTGTTTGGGCTCTGAGTTACAGTCTGCTCTCTGGCTTTAGTGATAAGACAGAAGAAAGTTGAGACATATCTGAAAGCACACTGAGGTCAACCATAAACCTCTTGGACATGTGAAGGATCAAGAAATAGATGTGTCTCTTAATTCTAGTCCAATCAAACATTCTGAGATGAACACCGAAGTCACTATTAAGTCACTAAAACAAATAAATGTTCCTCAGATGTGATGGGGAAATATTCAAACCCAACATTCATTCATTCAATTCTGCCGTCTGTTCTAACCAACCCCCAGACAGCAGCTATAAGAGTGCTTTTTACATGACTTGGATCGTTCACGCGCTCTGATTGGCTGATTTGCGGTCTGATATTTTCCCATCTCGGACCGTTACCATGACAACTGGTCCGCAGTGCGTATCAGATTTGATATCTTTCCTCGGTAAAAAAGAAATAATGAGCGACTGGGAGCATTCTCAGTGAATTCTATCATCAGGACGAGTTGGAAGAGCCAGAGGAAGTAATAACAGCAAATAACGACAAAAACACAACTCCAACAGTCAAGAAGAGATCGACAACTTGGTTACAGACCAGAAAGGTAAAACCAGGACCAGGAAAACCAAGTGGAACATGAACATCACAGATATGTAAAAAGCATTGGTAAAAACACAGACTGAGAACTTACAGCGGGCGCCTCAATCCTCTGTTCTTCATGTCACAGTTTGACACTTTGGTCAAATGTGTTTTTACTTCAAACCCATCCATATTTGCACAAATTAAAAATAGTCATATAATAAAACATTTATTAACCTCGTGCTCGTTTAATAAGCCGTTTATATTTACCAAACGACATGCTGCCCACTGTAGAGCTACATACAGTTTTTCTCTGTGCAGACCAACATTCAGAATCTGTTCTGGCTCAAATTGCAGCCAAAATGTGAGATTGTTCTGATTAAAGAAACATGATTTTGGTTTGTGTCTGTCTCATCATCTTTGGCAATTTACTTTGGACTAGAATGTGAAATAATGGGTTACTTTGAGAATATATGAAAAACATCAACACAGTAAGGGATGAGCAGAATGAGCAACACTCTCATCCTCTGGTAAAGTTCATATTAATAATTGATTTAAAATATTTATTGTATGAAGAGTTTATTATCATTCATATTGTTTGGTTAAGGCATACTTTATTGTCCCTGTCTGTTTCATTTGAACCATGAACAACAGTGCAGCGCCGGGGGAACCATGTCCAGATGTAAACCCCGTGAATAAAGAACATATCCAGAACTCTCAAAAGCATTGTTGTTACCTTCAAATGAATGTTCCTTTGTGTCCTCAGAAGCAGACAGAGTGTGCAACGAGCCGTGAGTTTGTTCTCTCGCTGCGCACCTCCAGACAGGGCGACTGCCCGGCTCCTCAGAAGGCCACGGGCTTCGCTGCTGCGTGTGTGGAGAGCTGCTCCTCAGACCTGCACTGCCCTGCCCCCAGGAAGTGCTGCTCCAACAGCTGTGGTCACACCTGCCAGCTGCCCGCCAACCTCTACAGGGGTAGGTATCACTGCACGGGGGCCACGGCCCGCCCATGTGGGGACACGGTCCGCCCATGTGGGAACACAGGCCGCCCATGTGGGGACACGGCCCGCCCATGTGGGGACACGGTCCGCCCATGTGGGAACACAGGCCGCCCATGTGGGGACACGGCCCGCCCATGTGGGAACACAGGCCGCCCATGTGGGAACACAGGCCCCTGTTGCACACCAAATGCGGTAACTGGTTACTTATCTATAGAATCGTTTTTTCATTATGCACTGTATGTTTCAAAGGGTACGATAAAATAAATATTTTCAAAACTATTCTTTTAGTGACACATGTCATTTTCATTTTCAATTCAAGCTCGGGTACCTGTCACATTTGTTCAGAGAGAAAAGTTCAAAACTATCATCACCAACAGATCTCAGACCTGAGTCAAATACTGACAGGGAAAGATAATTTGATCAGATTTTACATTATGCTTTCACAAGACACTTTTTGTTTGGATAAAAGACATGAAACAAAACAAGTCAGGCAGGCTATACCAAAATGCATGTTATAATAATGATGCTGTAACCTCCGCTTCGCAGGCGTCCCGCTGAAGCCGCGCCGCGACATGACGTTTGTGGAGGACTCCCAGGGCCGCGTCCGTGTGCTCTGGCTCTCCAAGTTCAATGTGAGCGTGGAGCCTGTAGTGTATGTGCTGCAGTCCCGCTGGAACCCGGGCATCCATCCCAGTGAGGACCACGCCTCTCCCTGGACCACCGTCACCATGGTAACCCCACAATCACTGGACCGCCCTCTTTTAAGGCTTGGAGAAAATGATATGATGTTTTTTGTAATGTCTCTAAGGCTGGCGAAGTCACTGCTTAAGGGGAACAGTTATAGGTGCATTTCACAGCAAACATATCAGAGATTTTACACAGTCAGTCCTGTTTTTACTTACTTTGTGAGAAGGTTTTAATTTTTTCAATCTATGATACACAGGTGATTCAGCATTTTACCTGCTGATAAGATAAGAGAACCTTTATTTGTCCCACTGTGGGGACATTTCTGATCTGATCTGAGTAATAAGGAGGAATAAACATGTGTAACATTGTTTTGCCTCCTCAATATTTACAGTTGTGCTCTAAAGTGCTTAAAAGTTTACACACCCAGGCAGAAATGACACTGTTTTGGCCATATTCTGTAGATAATCCATGATTTTATTAATCCTCATTTTTGTGAGAAGCTATATCAAATACACAAGTTTTCTTTTTTCAAATTAGAACAGAATTGAGCAACTCTGGGTAGATCTAAAATGTAAAGCTCATACCCAGAAACTGGAGGATTTTTGTCAAGGACTATGGCTATCTTTTAGCCTGGCTCTCGCCAGACCCTTGTAGTTCCGCCATGCTCCACCAGAGGCGTTTCGCTTCACACACAAGGGTCTGGGATCGAGCACATATAAAACTCCTTCAGCAGATCAGAAAAAAATCAATCAATCAGGATCGCTGGTGTTACTTCGGGTTTGCTCTGCCTTCTCAAGCGTGTCTCAAGCGGCAGCAAAAGCAATCCAAGATGGCGGACATAAAGTCTGTGAATTTAAAAAAAAGTTTAAATAAGAACGAATTAAGGCAATATGAGGCGAGATGTTGATGGTTCCATGTTGTTATGTGTGTTTTCAGAGTCAAATGTTTGTGTAAAGTTTGGTTGAAGTACTATTTCAACCTGGAGAGACATGATGCGTTTAAGAGTTCTTTATGCGTTTGAGATTTTATGGATTGAGTTTGTTTATTGTTTTGGAGCTTAGGCCCCGGCTGTGGCCGTGCTCTGAAGAGATCTGCGCCTGGGGCAGATCATGATCCCCCGGGGCCTAGACACTGGTGGTGGCAACAAGGCAAGGTGAATGTGAGAGTGAAGAAATCCTGAGGCGGAGGTGGTTGGAGCTTGAAGTCCGTTTGATGAGCTCTGCTCTGCTTTGCTTTTAAACGCTGGCTTGATTGACACGGCTGCAGTGAGTTGATGAGTTGATTATGACATGAGAAAGGCGTGGTCCAGCCTGGTGTGATAACGGAGGTAGTCTACCATCCTGAACCTCCGCTTAAGCTTCATTTTAAGTGTTCCTGTTTACAACACTATGCAGCAGGGTTGCCAGGTTGGGTGGTTTCCCGCATACTTTTTTTCCAAGCGACTTGTAGGTAATAAATAAACAGAATCATGATAGCCCAAGTTGATTACATTACGTTTTTAGCCAAAAAATATCATTCACTTTGGGGCATTCTTGCAGGTTTTGGGCTGTAAAATCTTGCATCTGGCAACTCATGGGAGTTGTGTGCTTCGATGTGGTTGAACACGTCATTCAAGATAACGGACAAGTGGTTCATCCAATCACATACAAGGATGGCTCAGACCCAGACTCATGTGTGAAGTGCAGCGATCTACAAGGGTCTGGCGAGAGTCCGGCTAGCTATCTTTAGCATCAGAGAGGATAAAGTGTTACCAACCTCATTATCATGGAAAAGAAACACATGGAAAACATGTTTATTTGTTATCAATCCGACAAAATATGAATGTGTGTAAACTTTCAAGCAGAATATATTTGCACTGTGTAAAAGACAGGACCACATTACCTCTTCTTTAAGTTATCATAAAGCAATGTGTCTGTGAATCAGTAAAGTGATGGATGTTAGACTGTGGATCCAGCTGATCTTTGTAAAACCCAACTCCTGTTCTGCCCAAGTAAACTGCCCGCCCCTCATGTGTCCTGTGTTTAAAAAAAATCAAATAAAAATAAACAGGGAACCACAGGCAGCCACTGTACGTCTGAGCGCTCATTATAGACTTACAAAGACTTTAGACAGTTATTACGTTTGCACAGGCAGACACACAAAACACTGGAATCTCTAGGAATTCTCAAGGCAAAGACCTTTACATTTGTGATCATTATCAGACTGCCTGCACGTCGTAGTTTTGTCCCAAACTATGTCTACGCAAATATAATATTAATATCCGTAATTTTCCTTTCTTCTTTTTACTTTATTTTCTCATTGGAGTTCTTGTCTAGCTCCATATCCTTCTGACTCAAATCCATCACACCACCACATCCTCAAGCCAGGTGCAAAACTGCAGAGATAATTTTGAAAGAGTGTGACATATTTGTGGCCGAGTTGTGAGTTCCCATTTTTGAAATGTATGTATACACACTCTGAAATGAGCGGTAGACACATTCAACATGTGGAGGAAGTTTCTGTGGTCAGATGAGACCAAAATGGAACTTTTTGCCCTTAATGCAAACTCCATGTGTGGCTCAAAACTAACAGAGCTCATCACTCTACTCACACCATCCACTGTCAGACCTGGGGGTGGCAGCATCATGCTGTGGGGCTGCTTTCCTTCAGCAGGGACAGGGAAGAGTGCCAGTGTTAATGAGAATGTGGATAGAATCAGCAAAACACTGGAAGCTCGGCCAAATTTTTCATCCAACAGAACGCTTCAAAACAAAACATTCAGGGGTTAGAATTTCCCAGACAAAGTGTACGTCCAAAATCTGTGACATCTGCAGTTCACAAACGCTCTCCGTCTAATGTGATGGAGCTTGAACTGTTGTGCAAAGAAGAAAAGAAGAAAGACCGCCATATCTTACAGGGCGGCAGTAGCTCAGTTGGTAGAGCATTGGTCTTTGAGCCTGAAGGTCGTGGGTTCGAGCCCGACTTTCACCATCGACTCCCACTGTCTGCTGTCGTTGTGTCCTTGGGCAAGACACTTAACCTCTGGGAACACCAGCCACAGTGGGGCGGCCGCGGCTGTAAAGTGCCAAACTGCTGTTGTGTCCTCAGGCAAGACACTTTACTCCCATTGCCGAGAATGAGTCTGGTGTGTGTGTGAATGGTTGGTGGTGGTGGGAGGGGCCAATGGCACAGACTGGTTACCTTGCTTCTGTCAGTGTGCCCCAGGGCAGCTGTGGCTACAGTAGTAGTTTATCACGACCGTGTTTGGAGAGAGAGGATAATGACATGTGAAGCATCTTTGAGAGTCCAGAAAAGCGCTATATGCATTATTATTATAAATATTGTAAAAACATAATCCAAAGATTTGCTGCTGTAATTATAAAGTAATGATAATAATATAATAATATAATAATAGCTCAAAATAAAAGTTCCTGTCTGGGTGTGTAAACTATCTCTGGGACAACTATATGATTAGTTACTGTAGGACAACTGGACATATATATTTGATTTGTTACTATAACTTAAATACGTTCTGACACATGGTTAACACATTCTCTTATACTTCTGTTATGACCATTTTGAAATATTTTGCCAAATAGAGTGCAGAAGTATGTTTGTCCAGCACCTTCGCTTTCTAAGGGCTTTCACTTGTGGAAGTCCTCATGTTACTGCGGGCTCTCTGTGACCACATCAGGCTTCTCGCTGCTAACGAAAACATGTGTATGCAAGTAAACTGATCACTGCACATTTCCCAGTGTCAAAGCCAATCGCTTTGACTTGGTTAGATGTCTGTTATTCTTACAATTACACAGCGTTTACAACATGGGCTCCTTGAGCCCCCAGCCTCTTGTTATCAAGAGATAGAAGGATTATAATAATATTAACACAAAGCAATGGTCTGATTATGGTGAGGATACAACAGAATGAAATACTGGTAATCTTCCAAAACATGCAGTTATTGGTGAAATTGGTTGTAATTATGTCACGCAGTGGAGCTCAACAGTCAAAGCAAGAGGAACATGTGAATCTCTGGTTCTACCAGTGGTGGTAGTGAGTATTGTATTAGCTTCTCCTTCAAAACCTCTGAAAGGATAATTGTCTGTGTCACACGCCTTCTTAACCTTTGTGCACTATTCCATAAAATAATACAGTGAGTGCCCAATGTTTTATGGGTCTAAGCATAACAACATGTACGGTATTGGTTTCCAAGGTGTTCTTGGTCAGGTCTCCTTCAGAAAAGAGATTTTATCTCAAGCGACATCCTGGTTAAATAAAGGTAAAAATAAAATAAATAAAAAACAAACATGACAAAAATAACTTTGGGGCTTTTAAAATATAAGCTTGAAAATCAGTTGTGGGATATTTCTTTATATTATTATATTCATTTACTTTATCTTTTGTAAGACCTTGAGGAAGGTCTTCTGTTTGTCATTATCTCTTCTTTGTCTCTTCTAATGATTTAACCAAATTTAATTGAATATATCGTCTTACATCCTTCTACAACTTATTCTATGGCAAGGTTTAGGCATACATTTTTCATTCTTATATTTTGTAGTGTTAATAACATTGTGAGTTTGCATTCAATAAACCATTTTTTACATTCAATATTTACTCTTTCCTCTTCTGGATTGTATGTTCTACAGCTAGTTATGTTAGCAAAGAAACACAGCTACTACTTATTTGTATATATTGTGTGCTCCCTGTGTGCTCTTACTACTGTCCTATATAATAATAATAATGCTGCAACATCGAAATTTCCCCACTGTGGGACGAATAAAGGAACTCTTATCTTATCTTATCTTAAACATTGCTTTGCAAAGCGTCACAGGCGCAAAAGGTCTCTTTATTTAAAACGTCACTCAGTCTTTGACACGTGGGACATTTGGCCAATCCGAGCACAGTCTGTCTCGACAGACTTCAACTCGCCGGACTCGCCGGACTCGCAGTGATGCCTGTGTAGTGTGTTTTAAATTGATCACAATAGGTTTTATACATAGAGTTACTTTCAGAGACATATTATACTAAAACATTGTTGGTCCATATTCAGTTGTAGGGCGTATTAGAGAGGAGGATCTTGGCCCAAGCCCGTCAGGTCAGAGCCTGGGTTAGTTTGATTTCTCTCAGGTCCGGGTCGAGTACTGTGTAAAAATATGCTGATGCTTTCTGGTTTGTTTTTTAACAGTGATTGAGCTAGACTGATAATGCACAGAGTTTGCCCATTTTCCTTCCACTTGTCCATTTTCTGCGTGATAGTCACTTTTCCCTTGTTGTATTTATAAATACGTGACATTCTAAAACCATGTGTTTTATGACCTAGCTAACCTCTAAGTGGGAGGCCAGTCCTTCTTATTTTATTTTAGGTGTCTTCTTGTGCCAGCAACTGGACAACAGATTCTCCTGTTTGGATTTCACCCCCCTAGTCTTGGCCTGCTGACTTCTGCACTTTTCAACCTCACTCCATCAGGAGTCTGGCAGACGGAGGAAAAGGCTGGACCCTAGACCGGAAGCTGGCTGATAGGACACTCCCCTCCTTCCTGTTCTTTATATATGCTCTGGCTTGGGGAGAAACAGAAGGATCAGCCGAGGGCCAGGAGAGGGACATATTAGTTTTAGGAGCACTCTTTTGTTGATTTCTGTATCTGATTGTAAAGATAATTAAATGCAGATGTTAACCTTTGAGAATCTTTTTGTCTGATTTCTGTATCAAATTGTGGACACGTCAGCCAAAGGGAATTATTGGCTTCACCCTCCACACACCTGTTTGCACCCTGTCTCCTGATGTTCAAACCCAGACCAGGAAGAAATCGATCACTTTAAAGTCCTCACAGATAAATGAAGAAGTAAATGTGTCGTGTGTGTGTGTTGGCTTTTGTGTGTGATGCAGGGAGTTACCTGGTCCTGTCTTCACCATAAGATTTTTCACTCCTTTCTCATCCCCTAGACGCTGTCAGAAGACACTCTCCTGTCCGATCTGCGGTCCCAGCGCTGGTACCAGTTCAGAGTGGCAGCCGTCAACAGCCAGGGCAGCCGGGGCTTCACCACGCCCAGCAAGCACTACATCTCCAACAGAGGTACACTGCTGGGGTGGGACCATGACTGGTTTAAATCTATATTAGACCTTGACCAAATCACTTCATCCAACGGTTGGCAAAAATCCCTGATGCTTAGCAGACATAGCTCGATGATGATCCAGAACTGGCTGAGAATAAACGTATACATCATTTTTATGAAGAATTGGCCGCACTGGAGATGGACACACACACTCAGGAAAACTCATGAAGAGAGGTGTGTGAGAAGAGATTATCCACTGACATCAGGACTATCAGCGTGTTGGGCTTACCTTGGCCTTACTCGGCCTTTGGGAGCTTTTATACAGTTTGATAACAAATGATAGTCTATACATCAACAATGCCTAGAAGCAGGGCTGGACTGGCCATCGGGCGTACCGGGCAGTGCCCGAAGGGCCGATGCCCATATTTGGACCGGTCTGTCAGCCTCATACAAAAAACATGTTTGTGAAATGTGTAAATCTGTTATTGAAATGTTCGAGGGGGGCGCGTGTGTCTGCGAAGCACTTGCTGTTGTTTTCTGTATGAATTCAAACAGGATTTTGCATCCTCCGCAGCCGCAGCCTTCTGGGGCAGCTGTGGCCGCTTTGGACAGCGGTTCCCGCTTTGACAACACGGTGAGCGCGCAGCCGTTACGTGACCATGTACCATAGAGACCATATACACGCACAGGACCATACTCTGCTTGTTGTGTGTGTGTCTTTGCGTATCCAGTGCACACAATAAATACAGCGCTGCAAGAAACAGTCCGCGCAATGGTGTAGGTTTGGTTCCAATCTTGGTGGGGACATTCACTACGACCTGAGTCTACACCCATTGACACGGGGTCCAGAGTTTCTCCCCCAGAATTTGTTGTGTAATCACACACTATATTTGCAATAGTGTGTTGCCTTCTATACTAAACTCAGCTGTAGACTGAATGAGAAGCAGTTAAGGATTTTTTCTAATAGTTAAAACAAAATCAATTGGATCAGAGCTTCTGAGTTTTGTGTTGCGTTCATTCTATACTGACTTAAACCTAATCCAAATCTACATAATAGCCCTCAGCTGAGGCTCTAACAGTTCAGGAACTGCTCTCGATACTTGAAATAAATCATGCTCTGATCTTTCAATTTCCTATAATAAATAAAAACAGAGGAGAAAATATTGAATTAGAATCTACAGTGAGTATCTCACTACATTGTTTGACATATACGATCAATCTCTAAAAACAATTCATAGTCCCATGCATACCTACAAAATTCCAACCTCACCTGATGCACTGAAGGGCCTGTTGCTTCTACCTCAACATTCCCTATATTGTTCTCTCTTGGTGGTTGAGTTTCCTATGTATGTTAACAGAAGATTAATCATCACAATTCATAATTTGCTATTACTTGTGCTTTCTCTTACTTACTTTCCAACTGTTAAAAAAGCTCCTGATATCTTTTATCTTTTTTTGTGAAGGTGGCATTTTTTCTAAATTATATAAGAAGGTATAGAAAATCAAAAACAGACATTCATATACATGAACTGCAGAATCATTTATATAACTTGGCCAATGTCAAAAGTTACATAGTATTTCTCAATACAATGAGTTAACAAGAGTTTGGCAATAAGTAACAGTGTGGATTTTTCTATATTTTCTTTTTTTTATTCCACTCTCAACCCAAAAAGGCAAGTAATGACTCACAGGGCTCTCAAGTATGCAAAATAAAAACTTAAATGACCTGTTGTGGTGTGTTTTGCGCACAACCAGCATGCATCGTTAACGCAATGGAAAATGTAGGTATCCGAGCTTTAATTTCGGGAGCGCTGGTTGCGCTTTGGGAAGAGTCAGGGGAGAGACATGTCAGAGACACAGGGGAGAAACGGGGGAGATACGAGGGAGACCCGCACTTGCAACATGGTTCTGTCTGCATATGGTCCGAGCTCGGTACCATGTTAGAGCTGTGCTTTCACTGAGCGCCGCGGCTGTCATTACAAAGTGGCAGCAGCTGCACCAGGACGTGCACATTCGAGTGCATCTCTTGAATGTGCTTAGAGCAAATAACAGCAAGTGCCCGCTGTCACACATTTCACAGAAATTACATTATCAGCAGATAAAGGTTGTAAATCGTGGATCCGTGGAATATTTTCATCCCTAGTTTATCCTGATTCACACAACACACCCACTTATACATTTTGGATAGTAAGAGCACAATAAGTATTTTTTCAGCCTTTCAACCAACCTGTTTCTTTATTGGAGCCAGTTCTGTTCTGTCTCTGTGCCGTGTGAGCTCCTCGGAACATTAAACAGTGCGCTGACAGATTAGAAATAACGTAAGTACTTTGAATGGTAATAGATCTACAGTACTTTCCTCTGATTACTCACGTGCTACAACGCTCAGGGAACGAAAAAAAACACTTGCTTCACGCTGGCTAACTTTTAAAAATTAAACAGTTGCTCAGTGCTTCAGTTTGGCGCTGAAGAAGACAGCCAATCACTGCAGAGAACGGAACGGGTCACGTGCTGCTGCTGTTGCTCTGGAGGCGAGGAGGAGGCGCGACGTGTGCACAAACGGAAGACATGTGTCCCGGACCGTCCGGGTCACGGGACATCATGTCATTTTGGTGGGGACTTTTTAGTCCTCACCAAATATTGGTGGGGACATGTCCCCATGGTCCCCACGCAAACCTACGCCCTTGAGTCCGCGTCTCCCGAAGCGCCACAAAACTCGCTAAATTAAAGTTGGGGTACTTACATTTTCCTGTTGCATTAACAGTTCATGTGGGTTGTGCCCAAAAGCAAAATGTTGTGAACAAATCAAACAGATTTAATGACAGCCATTGGCTGACATTACTTTGAAATGTGCTCTCATCCCTGAAACAAACAATAGTTTTGGTCTGTGTTTACTCTGTAGTGACATGTTTATAACTCTCAATGTTGACCAGTGCACTTTATTAACTGCATATATCCTGATCCTCTACAGTACTGTAAATAAAAACATGAAGAAAAAAAAACGGCTGAGCCATCAAGAAGGCAACAATGCCAAACTGTTGCCTTCTTGACTTCCAGAGCACTGTGTCCTGTGTCCCAAAGTTCACTCGCAGTTATTTTATGTCTGAAGTAAACAGTCTGCAGCCTTCACATGCCACTTGGTAAAACAGAAAAGTTTTCTTCTTGATCTTATCTTATCGTCCCTTATCTGTCATTATTTTTACACTACAGCTGATCAGATGTTTTCATTCACAAATTTGTTTGCAGAAAACGGCAGCTGTTCTTGGCTGCATCCAAATAGTTTTGATACATCTTTCCTTATCCTTCCTTGCTCTAGAATGAAATGTCAAGCGTTAATGCTAATTATAATAATGATTGCTAATGTGTTCAAAATGAGAACAAATGACTGGAAAAGCCATGTCCGTTGCAGAAATCTCAAGTGAAAGCGAGTGGTGTCGTGAGTGCTCTACGACTGTGAAACAGAAAATTGTTTAGATTATCGTTACGTCTGTATTCTCTTGTCTGCGTCATGATTCAAAATCTCATGAGACTAAAACTTCTGCAGTCTGTAGCCATCTTAAATTGACAAATAAATGTAGTAACGGCCCTTCATGCTTGTGCCCGGGATAGTATCGTGTGATTGTCGTCTAAAGTAATGACATCAGCCACAGACAGGACGGCCCGTCGCATCAGCGCTGGGGCCTCAGAGGAATGTTCTAATCTGGTACATTTTGTAGATTAATCTGATTCAGACTTGAATAAACACAGCTCTATGTTGGTGGTGGTCTGAACTACTGCGTGGACTCTTCTATTACTCACCTTTTGAAGCTCTAAATTAGATTGTCGTAAAGGGCGTAAAGGGCTGGAACAAGGGCAAAAGGAAATTGGCCTTTCCCCTCGGAATAGGAGCAGCCTCTCCCTCTCACTGCAGCGCATTAAGCACCATGTTATTAGACAATTAGGTTAAGCTCCGCCGTCTGAAAGCACTTACACATGTTAAATATAAGTTGCTCTTTTAGATTTATGACAGCTGCATGGCTGTGTATCTGTGGCTTTTTGAGACAAATCATATCACGGAGAGATTCCCAGCTTTAAGACAAATTACAGGTGAAACTTAAACGTTTATTTTAAACTAATTTGTTATGTTATTTCTGCAATTCAACTTTAAATAAAAAACCAATGTATGACACAGACTCATTACATGCGAATTGACTTATCCCAACGATTTTATTTGGGGTTATTACCAGCTTTGAGCCAATTATCAACATGACAAGTAAAGTCAGATATATGTTAGAGTTATATATGAGCTGCTCTAAAGCTGTTCCTGCATCGGCCCGTATGGGGGTGACCTGATCCTCTTGGTTCTGACCATGAATCCTCTCTGCTCTGGTCTGGACCAGTGCAAAACCATGAACACTGTACTGTAGCAACATCTAAGGTAGAAAATAGCAATTTTTATAACTACTGAGGACTTGCTGCCGTTTTCCAGCGCATTCAAAAGTAAATACAGATAGATACTTTATTGATCCCTGTAGAAGAAATCCATAACCCTAACCCATCCATCTTCTTCCCCTTAATCCATTTCTGGGTCGGGGGGTGGCAGTCAGAGTTGCACCCAGTTCACAGAGCGCGTTCACTGATCCTCCTGCAGGTGATGAGATCTTTCAGTGGGGACTTCACGCAAAGTGGGGTTAAGTGTCTTGCCCAAGGACACAACGACAGCAGGGATCAGTGAGAGTCGTGAAGTAGGTGGGCTTGAACCCACGACTTTCAGGCCCAGAGGCCAGTGCTCTACCAACTGAGCTACTGTTGCCCCCAAAAATATAAAAGATAATTCTAAAATTAGCTAACAATAGTTCAATCTGAAGAGACTAAAGACACAATTAATACAATAAAATTATTTATTTGTTTGGCGCATTGACCCCGGCAGTGACACTTGCAGCAATGAGATCGATTGCAGCTGAAGATGATCTCAGATCCCCCGGGGTCAATCACTGGTGGTGGCTAGAGTATGGTGTGAATGGGGCGTAGGCGGAGCAGGAGCCGGAGCGGGAGCCTAGAGCGGGAGCCAGAGCGGGAGCCAGAGCGGGAGCCAGAGCGGGAGCCAGAGCGGGAGCCAGAGCGGGAGCCAAGAGCCAGAGGGGGTGCTGGGGAGGTGGTGGGTGTTTAAGAGCCTCAGGAAGCGTTGCTTGTCAGGAAGTGGCTGCCTTTTAAACTGCCCGCTTTTCTGTGAGAGGGTTGGCAGGAGGCTGGCCTGGCTGTGTGATTGGCTGAGGCTCGAGGCTGGCAGGCACTCGGTCTTTCAGTCTGAACCTGCGCATTCAGCTTCATTATTAAAATAAAACAGCACTTAGGTCTCAGCAGCAGAGGTGGAGTAGCCTCTGGGTGGAGCAGGGGAAGTCACAGCAGCAGAGGTGGAGTAGCCTCTGGGTGGAGCAGGACGGGTCACAGCAGCAGAGGTGGAGTAGCCTCTGGGTGGAGCAGGGGAAGTCACAGCAGCAGGTGGAGTAGCCTCTGGGTGGAGCAGGACGGGTCACAGCAGCAGAGGTGGAGTAGCCTCTGGGTGGAGCAGGGGAAGTCACAGCAGCAGGTGGAGTAGCCTCTGGGTGGAGCAGGACGGGTCACAGCAGCAGAGGTGGAGTAGCCTCTGGGTGGAGCAGGACAGGTCACAGCAGCAGAGGTGGAGTAGCCTCTGGGTGGAGTAGGACAGGTCACAGCAGCAGAGGTGGAGTAGCCTCTGGGTGGAGCAGGACAGGTCACCCAGTCAAGTTTTTTCCTTTGCTCCTTTTGCTCCTTTGATCCACAAGCTGGATTTGTTATTTTGTCACGTCTGAAATGTTTGGTGCAGAGTTTTAATCTTCAGGAGCCTGGCCTATGGTCTGGAATCTTTACTGAATGAAGCAATGTCATTGGTCTGAATATTCTTTTTTAGATCCGTCTCCTCCTGAGCCTCCTCAGAACATCAGAGTGGGCAACCAGACGCTGCAGTGGAGCCCCTCGGCCCTCTCTCAGTTCACAGAAAGGTAAGACTGTACGGCCCGCTCCTGTTGGCAGATTCAGAGTTCAGTGGAAGTTTGTAGCGACTGGTATCACCGCAATGACATTCACATAAAGGTTTTATTGACACAAGTGAGGTCATGATGGAAGCTGCTGTGAAACATGCTGTTAAAACATAAAAAGTGCCTGATTGAAAACAGTTGACAAATGAAACAGAGAGCATGTGATGTCATTCAAAAACAGTCATAAGGCTCTCATTGTGATTGTGTGTATTTTGGTGAGCACTTGTGTTTCATAGCAAGAAGGTCCTGGGTTTGATTCCTTTGGAAAGGGCCTTCCTGTGTGGGGTTTGCTTGTTCTCCCTGTGTCTGTTGAGTATTCCTCCAGGTGCTCAGTTTTCCCCTACCGCTGTACTGACCCCTCCCATCTCTGTGTGGAGTGAGAGACAAATGCCCAAAAATAACCACCGCTTTGTGACTCTGGTCTGTGAAAGGCGCTATTTAAATAAAGATTACTTACTTACTTACATAAAATATTTATTTCAGAAACAAATGGGGAAACAAATTCCTCATAAAAAAAATCTCTTTTGTCTTACAAAAAACTGCCTCCTTATGTTCACTTATTACTCTATACTCTATAAACAAGATATTATGATGTGCAATTAATAATGGACATTGTACTCTTCAGGGCGCACCAAAAATCAAACACAACATTTACAAGCAAAGCCTTGCACGGGCTTTGCGCAGTGTATCACTTATGTTGTGTTTTCATCACGTAGCAGCCACATGCAAGTTCAACCAATATAAATTGGTGGAACGCGGGATTTTTTGTTTTCTTTGCAAACATAGATTCTCCCAATTATACCTTTTTGTATGTTGCTGTCAGTCCAGTGGCATCAGGAGCAGTATTGTTACAGGTGGTACGTCTGACTCCCACTGGTGCTGTACGGTGAGTTGGAGAACAGCAGCTTTGGCCAAACTTGCATGCAACAGCCAGATCCCATTAGATTGCTAAAGCTGTGCAGGGCAGTGCCTGGTTAGTGCTGTGATGGGAGACCTCTGACTGCGACTGCCAAACTGTCCTTGTGTCCTGAGGCAAGTCACTTCATCCACATTGCCTAGAATGGTACTGGTTGCCTCGCTTCTGTCAGCGCCTTTGAGTGTCCTGAAAAAACCCATATAAAACCAATGCATTATTATTCTTATTATATCAAAAAAATGACAAAAGTAGGAAAAACAGTGGGTGTATGCAGTGGGTGTGGTCAGCAGGGTGTGATGAAAGACATTATAAATGACTCGAACATGCATGAATCATTTTAAAAACAACATGTTTAAATGTTTACTGTGAAAGGTCCATCGGATGAGGTAAAACCGATGCATTAGACATGAAGCACGTGTTCAGTGAAACTTGAATGTGTGATGTGTGTGTCAACAGCAGAGGACGGGTGGCTACAGTGAGCACGCTGCTCCGCTGGGACGTCCCGAGAGAAGGGGACCTGCCTGTGCATAGCTTCAGAGTGAGCTGGAGCCCTCAGCAGACCCAGGTTCACAGCCGGGCCCAATCCAGGTCACAGGGCGACAGCCGGAGGGACAGCAACACCAGGGTCACACATGGGGTAAGAAGCACTGGAGCTCAAACAGGACAGAACTAATGAACCAAACGTATCGCTGCAGTGACAAGTGCATTTCTTTGCGCTGTATAAACGCTGATATTGTCAGAGTGTGTTCAAGACCAAATGCAGCTCTTAGAATAATGCAAAAACAAACAAATAAAACATAGAGGCCAGAAAAACCTCGGGTCCGAAGCAAAGTCCGAGCTAATCAGGGGCAGAAGCCCAGTGGTGACCTTCCAGCAGGGAACTGGCTCCGCCCGTACAGAGACATGCAGAGAGACGGAACCATCAAGACCAGAACGTCACTGTAGACCTCTCGACTGGTCTATAGTGACATCCAAAATCCAAAGGAAGTGCACGAAGTAAAATGGGAATGACACCACAGATAACTGTCCCAAGGGTCCACTGTAGGGAGGGTCTTCATTACGGTCTGTGACGTTTCACAAACGTCACATTGTGTGGTGAGGATTAAAATCTCTTGGGAGCAAAAGCTGTGCAGAGTCATCTCCATTTTTTTCATTGATCTATTTTCGACTTTTTGCACAAAACTTAGAATTGGATGTGCGCGTCAATCTTACTCTTGCTCTACAGGGTCTTCATTAGGCCCATGACAATATAGTTTTTTCATTTTTTACTGAAAGTTTGCACACATATGTAACAGACAACTGTGCAGTGAAAGAAAAATGATGCATGATTCTGTTATTTTTCAAACAATAGAAAACATAGACGTTGCACAAGTTTTCATACAGCGTGAGTGAATACGTCATACTCCCTTTTGGGCCATGACTCTACAAGATTTTTCACATCTACAGAAAGAAAGTTTAGCGCATTCCTCTTTACAAAACAACTCCCCAATATGTCCCTGTATTTGGCTCCATCCATCTTCCCAGCACTTCTCACAGTCGTCCCAGTCCTTGCTGATGAAAAGCAGCCCACTGGGGATGGTGCCATAAGCTGTGTTAGGTTGGCACCATACATAACGTTTTGCGTTTGGGCCAAAAAGTAATATTTTTGGTCTCATCTGACCAAAGCACTTTCTTCCACATGGTTGCTGTGTCCCCCATATGACTTCTGGCAAACTTCAAACAGGATTTCTTGTGGCTCCTTTCTAATGGCTTTCTTCTTGCCACTCGTCCATAAAAGACAGATTTGTGTAGAGTAGGACTGATAGTTGTCGTCTCGGGGCACTTGATCGTGTTTCTGACCAGAGCTCTCCTCGTTGTTTAAGCGGACGGCCATGTCTTTGTAAGTTTGCTGTGGGGCCATACTCTTTTCATTTCTGAATAATGGATTGAACAGTGCTCTGTAAGATGTTCAAATCTTCGGAAATCTTGGAACTTCTCCAATACTTTATCCCTGACCTCTCTGTTGTGCTCCTTGACCTCATGATATCATTTAGTGACAATACACGTTTACCATAGCTCTGAGGGCCTCGCCAAACAGATGTATTTATACCGAGAGTACATTACACTAAGGCCCTGTTTATACGGAGGCGCTGCGCAGACGTTTCCAGGCCATTAACAGAAACGACCAGGCTCCTAACGCAAATTTTACTGCGTTCATACGAGGATCAAAAACTACTGTATGTAGTTCTAGCACATGGCCAATTGTGCCCCCCCCCCCCCCGGAAATGAAACTAGAGCTTTGCGTGGTCTTGTTTGGACGAGCGAAGCAGTAGAATCATCCTCCATGTAGCGCTCGAAGCACACGTAGCTAGTTAGTGCACCCACCGCCACAGCCACAATGAACAGTGAAATAATGAAATAATATTGCACTTTAATATAAAAACTTGGATCGTACGTGCGCTCCGATTGGCTGATTTGCGGTCTGATATTTTCCCATCTCGGACCGTTACCATGACAATCGGTCCGCAGCGTGTTTCAGATTTGATATCTTTCCTCGGTAAACCAGAAATAATGAGCGACTGGGAGCATTCTCAGTGAATTCTATCATCAGGACGAGTTGGAAGAGCCAGAGGAAGTAATAACAGCAAATAACGACAAAAACACAACTCCAACAGTCAAGAAGAGATCGACAACTTGGTTACAGACCAGAAAGGTAAAACCAGGACCAGGAAAACCAAGTGGGACATGAACATCACAGATATGTAAAAAGCATTGGTAAAGACACAGACTGAGGCTTGAAAAAATGAATGAATTAATCATATAAAAAAACATTGATTAACCTCGCGCTCATGTAATAAGCCGTTAATATTTGTTCTCTAAAGAATAACTGCTGACTTTGATATGGTACGTTTGGTATGTCTTTATGAGTCACAGCTGGTGTTATTTAAGGAACAACTTCATGATCTATGTGTGATGGCATTTTTATTGCTCTCAATTAACAGCAATCTCCCCTTTTGATCTGCAATGATAATCTCAGCACCACTTTCCATTCTTGTCCATGTGGTGTTGCACAAAGTTATCAAACAAGAATGTCATTATCAGCTGTAATAAGCCTGAATTCCTTCTCCGATGACTTTTTTACTGCACATAGATCCTGTAATTAGTCCGTCTTTGTTGTGTGGTTTAAAGTATTTGGCTTTATTTCCACAACTATCACACGCTAGACATAATTAGCAAAGTCATATATTAGTGCCAAAACGTGGAACAAATATTCTAATCTGCAATCATGAGGAAAATTGCACTACAAGCAATTTCAAATAAACGTTGTAATATTCAAACAGGCGCGTTGTTGTGTTGTGAATGCAATTAGTTGTGCTCCTTGAGATTTTATGATGCACCTGTTGCCAGTGCGCTGCAGTCGCTCGCACATTTGATCATTTACTTTACGGAGAATGCACGGTGTGTGTTCAGAAGGCCTCGTGTAGGACTGCAGAGAGGAAACAGTGCGTCATTTGCAGCTGGACAGTAGGAGTTCAGTCCAGACGAGCACAGGCTCCACTGGTGCTCAGAAAACATTGCTCCCCAGAATGAGAAATATACTGAATATAGAGTCAAACAGACTTTAGGTTCTCTTCCCATTTCTGGTCAGATCAATTTAAAGCTATAATACTGTGTAAATATGCCCCAATGTAGACCAATGTAGACCATCAAATATTGTTCACAAATATATTGTCTTTCAGAGCCTATAGATATAATACATCTCTCCATTCAAGGGAGATATTTAATATATCTAACAATTTTATATGACAGGGCGGAGCGGGCCCCGACAAGTACCTGTCGGTACTTATTTTACGATAATGACCTGTGTACTATACATTATCCCATGAAAGTTTTTGAGAAACTGAGTCAGCAACGTTTATTTGATGCGGAAGTGTTTTGAAGAGGTTTTGAAAACCTCTTCAAAATGGAATATTGTTTGAATATCTGTAATGCTGTTGGCTCGTCCGGGCAGTTGGACGACGCCTGGTTCCTCTCAGTGACTGACAGAGCACAGATGTGGTGTGGGGATAATTCTTCTCTGCATTGTCACGTTGTAAAAGACAAAGAGAAATGTGCTGTTTAGTATCCTTAGCTGGGGTCAGGGATAACAGGGCTGTTCAGTGCATTTTGGGACGCCCCAATCATAAAGGAGACACAAAGAATATTGTTAAAAAGTTCATTTATTTCTGTAAAACCGACTCATGGCATGCCAAGTAATATATGTGAAGCCTTTGTTAAAATGTTGATTATCATGGCTCACAGCTTGTAGCATCCCCAAATTCAAACTAAGATACTGTATTAGTTCAAAGTGTCCACATGCTTTGGTTCAGTAGAATGCTCCATCACGGAGAAGACTATTTCTACAGAACACAACAGTCATGCAGAAAACCATCATGACGCCCTTCACAAGGAGAGAAAACCTCAAAAAAAGGTAAAAACCAAAGAAGTATCAAAGCACATTCTTAAACCAGGCTTGTGGTTCACCAAGGTGCACACGCCTCAGGTGCACACGCCTCAGGTGCACACGCCTCAGGTGCACACGCCTCAGGTGCACACGCCTCAGGTGCACACGCCTCAGGTGCACACGCCTCAGGTGCACACGCCTCAGGTGCACATGCCTCAGGTGCACACGCCTCAGGTGCACACGCCTCAGGTGCACACGCCTCAGGTGCACACGCCTCAGGTGCACATGCCTCAGGTGCACACGCCTCAGGTGCACACTCCTCAGGTGCACACGCCTCAGGTGCACACGCCTCAGGTGCACATGTCTCAGGTGCACATGCCTCAGGTGCACACGCCTCAGGTGCACACGCCTCAGGTGCACACGTCTCAGGTGCACACGCCTCAGGTGCACACGCCTCAGGTGCACACTCCTCAGGTGCACACGCCTCAGGTACACGCCTCAGGTGCACACACCTCAGGTGCACACGCCTCAGGTGCACACACCTCAGGTGCACACGCCTCAGGTGCACACGCCTCAGGTGCACACTCCTCAGGTGCACACGCCTCAGGTGCACACTCCTCAGGTGCACATGCCTCAGGTGCACACGCCTCAGGTGCACATGCCTCAGGTGCACACGCCTCAGGTGCACACGCCTCAGGTGCACACGCCTCAGGTGCACACGCCTCAGGTACACATGCCTCAGGTGCACATGCCTCAGGTGCACATGCCTCAGGTGCAAACGCCTCAGGTACACACGCCTCAGGTGCACACGCCTCAGGTGCACACGCCTCAGGTGCACATGTCTCAGGTGCACACGCCTCAGGTACACATGCCTCAGGTGCACATGCCTCAGGTGCACACGCCTCAGGTGCACACGCCTCAGGTGCACATGTCTCAGGTGCACATGCCTCAGGTGCACACGCCTCAGGTGCACACGCCTCAGGTGCACACGTCTCAGGTGCACACGCCTCAGGTGCACACGCCTCAGGTGCACACTCCTCAGGTGCACACTCCTCAGGTGCACACGCCTCAGGTACACGCCTCAGGTGCACACGCCTCAGGTGCACACGCCTCAGGTGCACACTCCTCAGGTGCACACGCCTCAGGTGCACACTCCTCAGGTGCACATGCCTCAGGTGCACACGCCTCAGATGCACATGCCTCAGGTGCACACGCCTCAGGTGCACACGCCTCAGGTGCACACGCCTCAGGTACACATGCCTCAGGTGCACATGCCTCAGGTGCACATGCCTCAGGTGCAAACGCCTCAGGTGCACACTCCTCAGGTGCACACGCCTCAGGTGCACACGCCTCAGGTACACATGCCTCAGGTGCACATGCCTCAGGTGCACATGCCTCAGGTGCAAACGCCTCAGGTACACACGCCTCAGGTGCACACGCCTCAGGTGCACACGCCTCAGGTACACATGCCTCAGGTGCACATGCCTCAGGTGCACACGCCTCAGGTGCAAACGCCTCAGGTACACACGCCTCAAGTGCACACGCCTCAGGTGCACACGTCTCAGGTGCACATGCCTCAGGTGCACATGCCTCAGGCATGACCACAGTCTGTAGAGCAGATAAGATAAACTTTATTGATCTCACACTGGAGAAATGTGACAATCGCTCAGATTGTGCAAAAGACAGAAGTATGAATGCATGTTTAGGTTAAAAATATAGTCTGTGCAGGATATAATTATGTACCATAAAAAGAGTTCAGTTTTTTGCAGGTTTTTTTCAGTTGTTTTTTTTGTTTCAAGCTGTAAGCCATAATAATCACATTTCAAACAAACAAAGTCTTGTCATATACCATTCAGCATGCCGTGAGTCCATATCCTGTGTTAGTTACACATTTTAAATGATATTATTTTCACTTATTTCTTCAATCCTGTCTCTGGATGGAGGGTGTCATGATGAAGCAGTACTGCAGGGCTGCTCTGTGCACCTTTTTAGTAAACTTTTAACAACTTTTTAGCGCGTTTTTATTGTTCAGTTTTTTAATATATCTGAGTGTTTTATCTTATTAATTCAGTGGTTTCAGCAAATAGCGCTTAGTCCCGACTGAAACCCACTAGTAGCACAGAGGCTAACACAAGCTAACGAGGACATGGAAAGTGACAATGAAATTGGCTCAAACATGCACAATATTAGTCGCCTCACCTTGGAGCTCCGTGAGAGCGACCGTCCACCATTGCAGAACTACGAAAAGAAGTCCTTCGTCTCACCGCAGAGTTGAATGAGAAACAATCTCTAGTGTCCAAACTTTTTGAAGTCGCTGGTGGGCAGCATTCACGGCTTATGTCACTGAGCGCTGCATATTGTGACACTGTCGTGTGGGAGAGATCCGTCAGCTCCGGACCCTCCTGTTCTACACCTAAGCGCCCGGTTCCGAATAACGAGCCCGCGGATTCCGAGGAGCCATCCTGCGCCGTGGCCCATGTCCTGAGTCTGGCAAACCGCTATGCAGCCCTCTCCACTGACATCCCGGCCCCCTCAGCAGAATCCCTGGACACTGCAGCGTACTCTACTGCTCGAGGATCCAAGTCCACTACGAGGAAAACGCTCCTAAAGGAAGCAGTCCTCAGGCGAAAGAGCGGTCCACCAGCCATGTTGGCCTGTTCCCCTTCTTTGACCCCAGTGCAGCAGCCTCAGACTGGGGTAGCGAGCCATCATCACCACCGCTCACCTCCACTGGGTCAGCAGCAGCACCCAGAGCCAGCCCCTCTCACCGCTCCAGCGTCCCCGAGCACACAGCGTGGGTCGCCTGTAGCTGAGAGTCAGCACCCCCGCTCCTCCTCTCCATGTGTTCAGCGGCGCTCAGGCTCGGGTCCTGCTTCGGGTGAACCCGCTGGTTCCGTCCACCGAGCTCCTTCTCCGAGGCCGCGTCCACGTCCACTCTTCGCCCCGACCACTCTGATTATTGGAGATTCCATCGTGAGACACGTCCGCTTCTTTAACGCGGTCACTCGCTGTATTCCCGGAGCTACTGTACCAGACCTGCTCATACTACTACTACTACTACATGAAACTTCAGCAGTCAGAAGTCACGAAGAAACATTTTATGGATCTGTTCAACCTCCTTCAATCCTCCGGATTATCTGTTTTTATTTCTGGTCCAATCCCGACTGTAAACAGAGGTGACTGCCTCTACAGTCGTGTTGTGGCGCTGCATATGTGGATCCAGGCTACATGCAGCTCTTTTAACTTTGTCTTTGTGAATAACTTTGCCCTTTTCTGGAAACGTTACGAAGCCTATCGTCCAGACGGATTACACCCAAACAGATACGGTAGCAGCCTGTTGATGGACTACATGCGCCATGTTGTTCAGCGTTCCCCGAGGGGGGCGTGACTGTTTACATCTGAGCCCCCTCGGACCCCACCGCACTCCCCCGCCTCCTGCTCACCAGCACCGGGTGAGTACAACGGTGCAAACACTGCTCCCTGTCCGTCTGGCAGTGCATTACCAGTCCAAACACTGAACTGTGCTGACTCCCTTCTGACTCTGGGAGCTAAAGAACAACAAGGGTTTTCACATTTTAGGCCAATTGAGACTGTGTGTGTTCCTCGCACCAGCTCAAAAATGTTTTTAAATTCTAAAAAACGAAATCCAAACAGGACAGCAGTTAGACGGTCCAACTCTGCAAATCTAATTTCTGTTCCCTGTAGAAATCAATCAACCACATTAATCGACTCTGACGTTATTTTTAAACTTGCTATGCTTAATGTCAGATCTCTATGTAACAAATCATTTTTAATTAATAATTTTATCACTTCTTATGATCTTGATTTTATGCTTATGGCTGAAACATGGCTGGACCAAAATACAGGAAATGCAGTTCTAATAGAAGCAACACCACCCAATTTTAAATTCGAATCCGAAATACGAGAAAACAAAAGGGGGGGAGGCATAGCTGCAGTTTTTAGAGAGCACTTTGTCTCCCATAGAATGCCCCTTGGAAATTTTTCATCGTTTGAGTATATTTCTTTTAAAATGGAACAAAAGCAATCTTCTACTCTTTTCATTGTCCTGTACAGGCCACCACAGTCATGTTGCGATTTTATTGACCATTTTACTGAACTACTTTCATTCGTGTGCACAGATTTTGATAGTTTAGTTATTACAGGTGATTTTAATGTACATGTTGATAATGTTGATGACAGAAATGCAAAGGAGCTGGCTTCTGTATTTGAGACCTTTGGTTTCATTCAGCACGTGAGTGGCCCCACCCACAGCAGGGGGCACACTCTTGACCTGCTAATTACAAAGGGGGTTAATGTATCAAATGTTAATGTAGTTGATGTTGCTTTGTCAGATCATTTCTGTGTATTTTTTGACATGTGTTTTGCTAGCAAACCACCAGCTGAATTTACAATTGCTAGAAGAAGACACATACATGAAAACACAAGTGAACTGTTCATGGGAATGCTAAATTTTGAGAAAACTCCATGCTCTACTGTTGATGAATTGTATAACTCTGTCACCACCAGTGTTCTGACTGTTCTGGACGCCATTGCTCCTGTGACGGTTAAAATAGTTACCAGTAAGAAAAAGGCCCCATGGACTAAGGCAGACTCGGTCAGGGCACAGAAGCAAGAGTGCCGGAGGGCCGAACGGAAGTGGCGAAAGTCCAATTTCCAGGGCGATTATGAAATCTTTAAAGATGAGTTGGGTGAATTTAACCGGGTTCTACGTAGAACAAGAGAAATGTATTTTTCTGACATTATTGGAGGTTGCAGTAACAATTTTCGTGTTATGTTTTCAACAGTTGGTAGATTAACGAACCCCCCTGTAAAGTTGCCCCTAGAATTTTCCTCTAAATCTAGGTGTAATGAGTTCGCACAGTTTTTCGATGACAAAGTACAAGGAATCAAAAACACTATCACCTCCACAGCACGTATAACAATGCAACAGCCAGAGAAGCTTTTTGAGCTAACTCACTTTGCACCTGTGGATACTGAAACCGTCAAAAAGATAATCATGAGTCTGAGCTCCTCCACATGTGGCCTGGATATATTGCCCTCTAAATTTCTGAAGTCCGTCCTGAGCAGTTTGTTACCTTCACTGACACAAATAGTAAACATGTCTCTGTCGTGGCCCTAAAAACAGCAGTCATAAGACCTCTCCTGAAAAAGAACAGTCTGGATCCTGCGGGACTTCAAAATTATCGCCCCATATCGAATCTGCCATTCATTGGAAAAATTCTTGAAAAAGTGGCCTCCCAACAACTTACTGAATTTTTAACAATGAATAATTCTTTTGATATGTTCCAGTCTGGGTTTAGACCCCACCACAGCACTGAGACCGCTCTAGTGAAGGTAACAAACGACATTCGACTTCACACTGATGCAGGTAAAGTCACAGTTTTGGTCATGTTAGATCTTAGTGCCGCGTTCGACACTGTCGACCATGAGATCCTCATGCAGAGACTGGAGGACTGGGTTGGTGTCACTGGCACAGCCCTAGACTGGTTTAGGTCTTACCTGGAGGATAGGAAGTACTTTGTGGAGATTGGAGACTGCGTCTCAGATCATGTGGCCCTGACCTGTGGAGTACCACAGGGGTCGATCCTGGGACCTCTCCTATTTAATCTCTACATGCTGCCGTTAGGTCAGTTAATACAAAGAAACAAAGTGTCCTACCACAATTACGCCGACGACACTCAGATCTATGTCTCACTGACTGCAGGAGAACATGGACCACTGGATTTGCTCCTTCACTGTATCCAACAGATCAGTGACTGGATGCAAAATAATTTCCTCCAGCTAAACGCAGACAAAACCGAAATCATTGTCTTTGGTCCCCAGAAACAAAGAGAGGGCGTCATTTGTCAACTTCAGTCTCTCTCCCTACTTCCTTCAGACAAGGTCAGAAATTTGGGGGTAATACTGGACTCAGACCTAAATTTCAATAGCCACATAAAATCAATAACATCAACAGCTTTTTACCATCTGAAGAACATTGCCAAAGGGCAGACTTGGAGATTCTTGTCCACGCATTTGTCTCCAGCAGGCTAGACTACTGCAATGGCCTGCTTACAGGTCTGTCCAAACAGACCTGTAAGCAGCTGCAGTACATCCAAAATGCAGCAGCTAGAGTCCTGACAGGAACCAGGAAGTATGACCATATTAGTCCGGTCCTCAGGTCTCTGCACTGGCTTCCTGTGGCTCAAAGAATAGATTTTGAAACAGCTCTGCTTGTGTACAAGTCTCTCCATGGCCTTGCACCAGAATACATTAGTGACATGTTGGTGTCATATGAACCGGCCCGGACTCTGAGGAGCACAGGGACTGGCCTCCTGCTGGTGCCCAGAGTGAGAACCAAACATGGGGAGGCTGCGTTTCAGATCCATGCAGCTAAGATCTGGAACAATCTCCCTGAAAATGTGAGGGAGGCGTCTACTCTGTCAATGTTCAAATCCAGGTTAAAGACTGTTCTGTTTGCCTGTGCATACAACTGAAGGATTTTATCTCCATTTCTAATGCACTGCTGTCATTTATTTATTTTTTTAAATTTCTTGTGTAATTTTGAAAGTTTTAATGGTTTTATTCTTTTGTGTGATTTTAATGTTTTAATTGTGTTTTAATCTTTTGTGTGATTTTAATGTTTTAATTGTGATTCTGGTGTTTGTTTTATGTGATGATTTGTGATGTGGACTGTGAAGCGCTTTGTGTTGCCCTGTGCATGAAAGGTGCTCTACAAATAAACTTTGATTGATTGATTGATTGATGATGTCGTTTCATTAGACCACATTTCCAGATACTTCCTTCCTCAAGAGGGTAAGGAGCAATGACGCTTAGAACGACTTCAATCACCCTCAGTAGCATTCATAAACACAATGATTGAATTGATTTGTAATTAAAAAACCTTATATCCACAGTGTGTACAGCTATAAAGAGGCTTGGATGTGGTCTTTGCAGTGATGTTGAAAGTGCTTCGCCAAAGCATTACGGGTATAATGATGATGTCCGCCTCGTCAAAGTGCTCTTAATCTCTTTAAACAGGCCTTGGAACAGGACTTTACTCCAATCACGATAATGCGTTTGGGGCTTGTCTAAACTCACCACGCAGCGGCACTTTTAACTCTCGCTGTAGTTTTTGATTCAGTGAAGGAGGTGACGTGACGTGTTCTGTCTGTGTTCTTCTGGTTGATCTGAGGAACAGCTGCAACGTAAGATGGCTGTTGCATGTGTCGATCTTTCATTTATAAAGTTGTCTTTGTCAAAATGTTGTTGGATTTTGTTTCTCTTGCTCCACGTGGATGATAAGCTTGGTGTAGTCCTTTATAATGTGATTCCCTCTGGTCCTGGGTGCACTGCGCTGTGACTTCAGAAGGCTCATTTTGAAAGCGGGAAAGAATGTTGTGACCTCAGATTCAGATTCAGTTTATTTGCCATTTGCAGTAAAAAAAAACACATTGGAATACATTAGCAAAAGTCTCCAGTGTGCACAGACAAATACAGACATAAAACAACATTAAAAGACAGAAATAAAACAAATAAAACAGTAAACAAATGTCACTGTGAAATCGATCGACTAAAACAGTTTCAAAACAAGTGCAAATCATTAAAGTGCTCTGTTCAAACTGATAACAGCCTGTGGATAAAAACTGTTGTCCTGCATCTCAGAGAGTGATATCTTCTGCCAGAGGGAAGAAGCTGGAACATGGCTTTCCCAGGGTGGCCAGAAGAGTCATTAACAATCCTGAGAGCTTTGTTTAAAAGTCTAGATTTATAAAGAACCTCCAAAACAGGAAGCTCACAGCCCACGGTCCTCTCTCTGGTCTCTCTCTGGTCTTTCTCTGGTCTCTCTGGTCTCTCTCTGGTCTCTCTGGTCTCTCTCTGGTCTCTCTGGTCTCTCTCTGGTCTCTCTGGTCTCTCTCTGGTCTCTCTCTGGTCTCCCTCTGGTCTCTCTGGTCTCTCTCTGGTCTCTCTCTGGTCTCTCTGGTCTCTCTCTGGTCTCTCTGGTCTCTCTCTGGTCTCTCTCTGGTCTCTCTCTCTGGTCTCTCTGGTCTCTCTCTGGTCTCTCTCTGGTCTCTCTGGTCTCTCTCTGGTCTCTCTGGTCTCTCTCTGGTCTCTCTCTGGTCTCCCTCTGGTCTCTATGGTCTCTCTCTGGTCTCTCTCTGGTCTCTCTCTGGTCTCTCTGGTCTCTCTCTGGTCTCTCTCTGGTCTCTCTGGTCTTTCTCTGGTCTCTCTGGTCTCTCTCTGGTCTCTCTCTGGTCTCCCTCTGGTCTCTCTCAGGTCTCTCTCTGGTCTCTCTGGTCTTTCTCTGGTCTCTCTGGTCTCTCTCTGGTCTCTCTCTGGTCTCTCTGGTCTTTCTCTGGTCTCTCTGGTCTCTCTCTGGTCTCTCTCTGGTCTCCCTCTGGTCTCTATGGTCTCTCTCTGGTCTCTCTCTGGTCTCTCTCTGGTCTCTCTCTGGTCTCTCTGGTCTTTCTCTGGTCTCTCTGGTCTCTCTCTGGTCTCTCTCTGGTCTCCCTCTGGTCTCTATGGTCTCTCTCTGGTCTCTCTCTGGTCTCTCTGGTCTCTCTCTGGTCTCTCTCTGGTCTCTCTGGTCTTTCTCTGGTCTCTCTGGTCTCTCTCTGGTCTCTCTCTGGTCTCCCTCTGGTCTCTATGGTCTCTCTCTGGTCTCTCTCTGGTCTCTCTGGTCTCTATCTGGTCTCTCTCTGGTCTCTCTGGTCTCTCTCTGGTCTCTCTCTGGTCTCTCTCTGGTCTCTCTCTGGTATCTCTCTGGTCTCTCTCTGGTCTCTCTCTGGTCTCCCTCTGGTCTCTATGGTCTCTCTCTGGTCTCTCTCTGGTCTCTCTCTGGTCTCTCTCTGGTCTCCCTCTGGTCTCTATGGTCTCTCTCTGGTCTCTCTCTGGTCTCTCTCTGGTCTCCCTCTGGTCTCTATGGTCTCTCTCTGGTCTCTCTCTGGTCTCTCTCTGGTCTCTCTCTGGTCTCTCTCTGGTCTCTCTCTGGTCTCTCTCTGGTCTCACAGCCCACGGTCCTCTTTGCAGAGCGGAGCACCTTGTTTAAAGCTCTCTTTTCTTTATCTGTGATGTTTCCAAACCACACAGACACAGAACCAACAACTCTCAATGGTGCAGCGATAAAAGTTAAGCAGAATCTTTGACCTTTTTACTTTTTGGACACGGTTCCTTGTGGAGAAAAGCCAGCGCAGAGTTAACATATGGGTCTGCGGGGTCTGCGGGGTCTAAATGTACAGTATATACTAACGGCTTATTAAAACGAGCGAGGTCTGTACAGAGAAATATCAGAGGTCTGTACAAAAAGACCAAGGTACAGACCGAGCCAGCGAGGTTAATAAATGTTTTATTATATGACAATTTTTAATTTGTGCAAATATGGATGGGTTTGAACTAAAAACACATTTGACCAAAGTGTCAAACTGTGACATGAAGAACAGAGGATTGAGGCGCCCGCTGTAAGTTCTCAGTCTGTGTCTTTACCAATGCTTTTTACATATCTGTGATGTTCATGTCCCACTTGGTTTTCCTGGTCCTGGTTTTACCTTTCTGGTCTGTAACCAAGTTGTCGATCTCTTCTTGACTGTTGGAGTTGTGTTTTTGTCGTTATTTGCTGTTATTACTTCCTCTGGCTCTTCCAACTCGTCCTGATGATAGAATTCACTGAGAATGCTCCCAGTCGCTCATTATTTCTTTTTTACCGAGGAAACATATCAAATCTGTAACGCGCTGCGGACCAGTTGTCATGGTAACGGTCCGAGATGGGAAAATATCAGACCGGTAATCAGCCAATCAGAGCGTGCGTACGATCCAAGTCATATAATAATGTAGATTATCACAATTTAAAGCAGACAGAATAAGGTTTTATCTTTAATTCACTGTTATTCTTCTATTTGAGAATGCTGTCGTTTTATATCAGATAATAGCTGGCTCTGTTTTTGTCTAAAAGTCAGTAACCAACCACATTTGAAAACATTGTTTAAATACACATCATACAGGGCGACATTACATCCAAAAATAGTCACCCCGCAGCAGACGCACAGTCATGCACACACGTTGACATGTGTTTTGTCTATCCGGGGCCGTAATGGAAATACTTGAAGCCCATTCTGTCTTGTAGGTCTCATGGAGCTCCTTTGAAATGCTGCGCTGGTGCTGTTAGTCAGATGCGGCGTCACTGGACATTGGTTATCACGGCATCTCTGTTGTGACTAAAGCGTAGGCAGACAGCGCGCACCCACTCGGAGCCTGCTCATGAGACGTCACTCAAACAGCAGCAGGATAATGCAGAACAGACTCTCCAACGACGCCAAGAGGAAGGGTGGGGTTGAAATACATGAGACTTAACACACTTCTGTCTATGGAGTGACAATGGGATATTACAATTAATATAGCGTCATACAAGGGTCATTTATCCACCGACTTTAGCTTCTAATAGTTTCAGTTTTTATTACTCCACATTAACCTGCCCAGGGACTACGGGTGGACACTAGCGTAGTGCAGAGGTCAGGACGAGGCTGGTCCACATCTAGAATTTGGCCCCGGGACGCTGTACTGTGCTGATCACTGCTCCTGATAGACGCCCTAGTGGCATCAGCATGGGTCAAATGCAGAGGATGAATTTCCCTACGGGGATCAATAAAATGCACCTTACGACATATGCAGGAGATAATTTAATATTGTATGTAAGTGTGCAAAACCCCGGGACCTAAACCCTGGTGGCGAAGGAAGCTGAGCCAATAACATGATGGTTCTCCAGTGATGGGGAGGAGGCAGGTTGCTGCAAGAACAGCAGCTTGATAAAGGGTTCTGAGATGCTCTGTTGAATCTAGTCATGTTGATGAGCACAAATGTGTGACTGTGCAGGTGTGTCGCAGATGGACGATACGTGTCCAGTTTATATATCCAATTAAATGAACCAATCAAATCCATTCTATAAATAGATCTATAGTTGCAGTTCAAGGGACACTTCACATTTAGTAAATTCGGGTGCAAAAAATACAAGAAACATGTTTTAGCTGTGAAATGAGTCATAATTAATGTACTGATATCTTCTTGAAATGATGTGCCTTGTGCTCGCAGGCGCAGTGTGAGATGTGGCTCCAGGGCCTGCAGATGGCCTCAGTGTATGTGGTGTCAGTGCAGACGGTGGCCTACTGGGGTCAGAAGAGGCTGAAGAGCACCAGAGCTCATGTTGTCTTCACCACTCTCACTCAAACAGGTAATGAATGTCCCACAGTGGGGAAATTACAAATGTACAAGCTCCCGTGTTCACTTCATTCTGACCAACATATTTGTCAAAAGTGTGCTTCTGCTTCATGTATGGTAGCAATTTTGATCCAAAATACAAAGAAATATAGAACTAGTATGAATAATTATTATGAATGATTATAAAAAAGTATTTACTTGGTCATTTAATATTTTAGAATGTAAAATAATATCTTAAAGAGCGACTAAACACCCAAATCACCTTTTTTTAACTCATAAACTGCATAAATATGTTAATTATAGTGCTCTCTACATGTCTTGGTCATTTTTTTTGACATTTTAGATGTCAAAAAATTAGATAAAATCTCACTTTTGAGCCTAAAAACATGTGTGTGGCGCCCTCTCTACCTTTTTCAGTGGTACTACATTTGAGTTTGGTCCTGGCCTCTCCATTGGCTCTGAAATATTCTGTGTGACGTCAGTTGGTGTGTGTGACGTCAGTTGGTGTGTGTGACGTCAGTTGATGTGTGTGTCGTCTGTTGGTGTTTTTGAGGTCAGTTGGTGTGTGTGTGACGTCAGTTGGTGTGTGTGTCGTCAGTTGGTGTGCGTGACGTCAGTTGGTGTGTGTGTCGTCAGTTGGTGTGCGTGACGTCAGTTGGTGTGTGTGACGTCAGTTGGTGTGTGTGTCGTCAGTTGGTGTGTGTGACGTCAGTTGGTGTGTGTGTCGTCAGTTGGTGTGTGTGACGTCAGTTGGTGTGTGTGTCGTCAGTTGGTGTGCGTGACGTCAGTTGGTGTGTGTGACGTCAGTTGGTGTGTGTGTCGTCAGTTGGTGTGTGTGACGTCAGTTGGTGTGTGTGTCGTCAGTTGGTGTGTGTGACGTCAGTTGATGTGTGTGTCGTCAGTTGGTGTGTGTGACGTCAGTTGGTGTGTGTGTCGTCAGTTGGTGTGTGTGACGTCAGTTGGTGTGTGTGACGTCAGTTGGTGTGTGTGACGTCAGTTGGTGTGTGTGTCGTCAGTTGGTGTGTGTGACGTCAGTTGGTGTGCGTGACGTCAGTTGGTGTGTGTGACGTCAGTTGGTGTGTGTGTCGTCAGTTGGTGTGCGTGACGTCAGTTGGTGTGCGTGACGTCAGTTGGTGTGTGTGACGTCAGTTGATGTGTGTGTCGTCAGTTGATGTGTGTGTCGTCTGTTGGTGTTTTTGAGGTCAGTTGGTGTGTGTGTGACGTCAGTTGGCGTGTGTGATGTCAGTTGATGTGTGTGTCGTCAGTTGGTGTGTGTGACGTCAGTTGGTGTGTGTGTCGTCAGTTGGTGTGTGTGATGTCAGTTGGTGTGTGTGACGTCAGTTGGTGTGTGTGTCGTCAGTTGGTGTGTGTGTCGTCAGTTGGTGTGTGTGACGTCAGTTGGTGTGCGTGACGTCAGTTGGTGTGTGTGACGTCAGTTGGTGTGTGTGTCGTCAGTTGGTGTGTTTGACGTCAGTTGGTGTGCGTGACGTCAGTTGGTGTGTGTGACGTCAGTTGATGTGTGTGTCGTCAGTTGATGTGTGTGTCGTCTGTTGGTGTTTTTGAGGTCAGTTGGTGTGTGTGTGACGTCAGTTGGCGTGTGTGATGTCAGTTGGTGTGTGTGACGTCAGTTGGTGTGCATGACGTCAGTTGATGTGTGTGTCGTCTGTTGGTGTTTTTGAGGTCAGTTGGTGTGTGTGTGACGTCAGTTGGCGTGTGTGATGTCAGTTGGTGTGTGTGACGTCAGTTGATGTGTGTGTCGTCTGTTGGTGTTTTTGAGGTCAGTTGGTGTGTGTGTGACGTCAGTTGGTGTGTGTGTCGTCAGTTGGTGTGTGTGACGTCAGTTGGTGTGTGTGTCGTCAGTTGGTGTGCGTGACGTCAGTTGGTGTGTGTGACGTCAGTTGGTGTGTGTGTCGTCAGTTGGTGTGTGTGACGTCAGTTGGTGTGTGTGTCGTCAGTTGGTGTGTGTGACGTCAGTTGATGTGTGTGTCGTCAGTTGGTGTGTGTGACGTCAGTTGGTGTGTGTGTCGTCAGTTGGTGTGTGTGACGTCAGTTGGTGTGTGTGACGTCAGTTGGTGTGTGTGACGTCAGTTGGTGTGTGTGTCGTCAGTTGGTGTGTGTGACGTCAGTTGGTGTGCGTGACGTCAGTTGGTGTGTGTGACGTCAGTTGGTGTGTGTGTCGTCAGTTGGTGTGCGTGACGTCAGTTGGTGTGCGTGACGTCAGTTGGTGTGTGTGACGTCAGTTGATGTGTGTGTCGTCAGTTGATGTGTGTGTCGTCTGTTGGTGTTTTTGAGGTCAGTTGGTGTGTGTGTGACGTCAGTTGGCGTGTGTGATGTCAGTTGATGTGTGTGTCGTCAGTTGGTGTGTGTGACGTCAGTTGGTGTGTGTGTCGTCAGTTGGTGTGTGTGATGTCAGTTGGTGTGTGTGACGTCAGTTGGTGTGTGTGTCGTCAGTTGGTGTGTGTGTCGTCAGTTGGTGTGTGTGACGTCAGTTGGTGTGCGTGACGTCAGTTGGTGTGTGTGACGTCAGTTGGTGTGTGTGTCGTCAGTTGGTGTGTTTGACGTCAGTTGGTGTGCGTGACGTCAGTTGGTGTGTGTGACGTCAGTTGATGTGTGTGTCGTCAGTTGATGTGTGTGTCGTCTGTTGGTGTTTTTGAGGTCAGTTGGTGTGTGTGTGACGTCAGTTGGCGTGTGTGATGTCAGTTGGTGTGTGTGACGTCAGTTGGTGTGCATGACGTCAGTTGATGTGTGTGTCGTCTGTTGGTGTTTTTGAGGTCAGTTGGTGTGTGTGTGACGTCAGTTGGCGTGTGTGATGTCAGTTGATGTGTGTGTCGTCAGTTGGTGTGTGTGACGTCAGTTGGTGTGCATGACGTCAGTTGATGTGTGTGTCGTCAGTTGGTGTGTGTGACGTCAGTTGGTGTGTGTGACGTCAGTTGGTGTGTGTGACGTCAGTTGGTGTGTGTGTTGTCAGTTGGTGTGTGTGTCGTCAGTTGGTGTGTGTGACGTCAGTTGGTGTGTGTGTCGTCAGTTGGTGTGTGTGACGTCAGTTGATGTGTGTGTCGTCAGTTGGTGTGTGTGACGTCAGTTGGTGTGTGTGTCGTCAGTTGGTGTGTGTGACGTCAGTTGATGTGTGTGTCGTCAGTTGGTGTGTGTGACGTCAGTTGGTGTGCGTGTCGTCAGTTGATGTGTGTGTCGTCTATTGGTGTTTTTGAGGTCAGTTGGTGTGTGTGTTACGTCAGTTGGCGTGTGTGATGTCAGTTGGTGTGTGTGACGTCAGTTGGTGTGTGTGACGTCATTTGGTGTGTGTGACGTCAGTTGGTGTTTTTGAGGTCAGTTGGTGTGTGTGACGTCAGTTGGTGTGTGTGACGTCATTTGGTGTGTGTGACGTCAGTTGGTGTTTTTGAGGTCAGTTGGTGTGTGTGATGTCAGTTGGCGTGTGTGACGTCAGTTGGTGTGTGTGTGGTCAGTTGGTGTGTGTGACGTCAGTTGGTGTGTGTGTCGTCAGTTGGTGTGTGTGTCGTCAGTTGGTGTGTGTGACGTCAGTTGGTGTGTGTGTGACGTCAGTTGGTGTGTGTGTCATCAGTTGGTGTGTGTGACGTCAGTTGGTGTGTGTGTGACGTCAGTTGATGTGTGTGTCGTCAGTTGGTGTGTGTGACGTCAGTTGGTGTGTGTGTCGTCAGTTGGTGTGTGTGACGTCAGTTGATGTGTGTGTCGTCAGTTGGTGTGTGTGACGTCAGTTGGTGTGTGTGTCGTCAGTTGATGTGTGTGTCGTCTGTTGGTGTTTTTGAGGTCAGTTGGTGTGTGTGTGACGTCAGTTGGCGTGTGTGATGTCAGTTGGTGTGTGTGACGTCAGTTGGTGTGTGGGACGTCATTTGGTGTGTGTGAGGTCAGTTGGCGTGTGTGATGTCAGTTGGTGTGTGTGACGTCGGTTGGTGTGTGTGACGTCATTTGGTGTGTGGGAGGTCAGTTGGTGTGTGTGACGTCAGTTGGTGTGTGTGACGTCAGTTGGTGTGTGTGACGTCAGTTGGCGTGTGTGACGTCAGTTGGTGTGTGTGTCGTCAGTTGGTGTGTGTGACGTCAGTTGGTGTGTGTGTCGTCAGTTGGTGTGTGTGTCGTCAGTTGGTGTGTGTGACGTCAGTTGGTGTGTGTGTCGCCAGTTGGTGTGTGTGACGTCAGTTGGTGTGTGTGACGTCAGTTGGTGTGTGTGTCGTCAGTTGGTGTGTGTGACGTCAGTTGGTGTGTGTGATGTCAGTTGGTGTGTGTGACGTCAGTGGGTGTGTTTGACGTCAGTTGGTGTGCGTGACGTCAGTTGGTGTGCGTGACGTCAGTTGTTGTGTGTGACGTCAGTTGGTGTGTGTGTGACGTCAGTTGGTGTGTGTGTCATCAGTTGGTGTGTGTGACGTCAGTTGGTGTGTGTGACGTCAGTTGATGTGTGTGTCGTCAGTTGGTGTGTGTGACGTCAGTTGGTGTGTGTGTCGTCAGTTGGTGTGTGTGACGTCAGTTGATGTGTGTGTCGTCAGTTGGTGTGTGTGACGTCAGTTGGTGTGTGTGTCGTCAGTTGATGTGTGTGTCATCTGTTGGTGTTTTTGAGGTCAGTTGGTGTGTGTGTGACGTCAGTTGGCGTGTGTGATGTCAGTTGGTGTGTGTGACGTCAGTTGGTGTGTGTGACGTCATTTGGTGTGTGTGAGGTCAGTTGGCGTGTGTGATGTCAGTTGGTGTGTGTGACGTCGGTTGGTGTGTGTGACGTCATTTGGTGTGTGGGAGGTCAGTTGGTGTGTGTGACGTCAGTTGGTGTGTGTGACGTCAGTGGGTGTGTGTGAGGTCAGTTGGCGTGTGTGACGTCAGTTGGTGTGTGTGTCGTCAGTTGGTGTGTGTGACGTCAGTTGGTGTGTGTGACGTCAGTTGGTGTGTGTGTCGTCAGTTGGTGTGTGTGACGTCAGTTGGTGTGTGTGTCGTCAGTTGGTGTGTGTGACGTCAGTGGGTGTGTTTGACGTCAGTTGGTGTGCGTGACGTCAGTTGGTGTGCGTGACGTCAGTTGGTGTGCGTGACGTCAGTTGGTGTGTGTGACGTCAGTTGGTGTGCGTGACGTCAGTTGGTGAGTGTGTGACGTCAGTTGGTGAGTGTGTGACGTCAGTTGGTGTGTGTGACGTCAGTTGGTGTGTGATGTCAGTTGGTGTGTGTGACGTCAGTTGGTGTGTGTGACGTCAGTTGGTGTGTGACGTCAGTTGGTATGTGTGACGTCAGTTGGTGTGTGTGACGTCAGTTGGTGTGTGTGACGTCAGTTGGTGTGTGTGACGTCAGTTGGTGTGCGTGACGTCAGTTGATGTGTGTGTCGTCAGTTGGTGTGTGTGACGTCAGTTGGTGTGTGTGACGTCAGTTGGTGTGTGTGACGTCAGTTGGTGAGTGTGTGACGTCAGTTTGTGTGTGTGACGTCAGTTGGTGTGCGTGACGTCAGTTGATGTGTGTGTCGTCAGTTGGTGTGTGTGACGTCAGTTGGTGTGTGTGACGTCAGTTGGTGTGTGTGACGTGTGTGACGTCAGTTGGTGTGTGTGACGTCAGTTGGTGTGTGTGACGTCAGTTGGTGTGCGTGACGTCAGTTGATGTGTGTGTCGTCAGTTGGTGTGTGTGACGTCAGTTGGTGTGTGTGACGTCAGTTGGTGTGTGTGACGTGTGTGAGGTCAGTTGGTGTGTGTGACGTCAGTTGGTGTGTGTGACGTCATTTGGTGTGTGTGAGGTCAGTTGGTGTGTGTGAGGTCAGTTGGTGTGTGTGACGTCAGTTGGTGTGTGTGACGTGTGTGAGGTCAGTTGGTGTGTGTGTCGTCAGTTGGTGTGTGTGACGTCAGTTGGTGTGTGTGTCGCCAGTTGGTGTGTGTGACGTCAGTTGGTGTGTGTGACGTCAGTTGGTGTGTGTGTCGTCAGTTGGTGTGTGTGACATCAGTTGGTGTGTGTGATGTCAGTTGGTGTGTGTGACGTCAGTGGGTGTGTTTGACGTCAGTTGGTGTGCGTGACGTCAGTTGGTGTGCGTGACGTCAGTTGGTGTGTGTGACGTCAGTTGGTGTGTGTGTGACGTCAGTTGGTGTGTGTGTCATCAGTTGGTGTGTGTGACGTCAGTTGGTGTGTGTGACGTCAGTTGATGTGTGTGTCGTCAGTTGGTGTGTGTGACGTCAGTTGGTGTGTGTGTCGTCAGTTGGTGTGTGTGACGTCAGTTGATGTGTGTGTCGTCAGTTGGTGTGTGTGACGTCAGTTGGTGTGTGTGTCGTCAGTTGATGTGTGTGTCGTCTGTTGGTGTTTTTGAGGTCAGTTGGTGTGTGTGTGACGTCAGTTGGCGTGTGTGATGTCAGTTGGTGTGTGTGACGTCAGTTGGTGTGTGTGACGTCATTTGGTGTGTGTGAGGTCAGTTGGCGTGTGTGATGT